CGCCGCCCGNCTCTGTGGGCTGGGGTGAGGGCTGTTTGTCGGAGGCCAGAGCGAATTCGTTGACCCACGGGTTCGGGGCCTGGCCGAGCAGGGGCTTCTCGGTCGCCTTCTTGTCGAACGTGCGGTGCCGTTCGGTCGAGAGCTGCGCGCGCAGGGAACTCATGCGACGCGGGAGTTTAGGTACGCCGTAGCGCTCCTGCATGTTCCGCCGGAAGATGTGGTCCAGCGTGGTGTCCTTCAAATCGTCTGCGTAAGAAACCCAGCGCGACTCCTTGCCGCTGGCGCCGCGGCCAGGCGCGTCATCGGCGTTGTCGCGGACCGTGTTGAGTAGCTGCTCGACAGCCGGGCTGGACTTGAAGGCGTTCATGTTCTGGTAAACAAGGGGCACCTTGCGTTCGTTTTCGAACGCGCCTGTACAAACGTCCAGCACCTGGTTAAACAGTGCGACGTCCTCCACGCCCGCCTCGCGCCAGTGGCTGAAGAACGCCTCCAGGTACTCCGTCGCGACCTCCTGCACGTCGCCCCGGGCCAGGAAAGCCGCCAGTTGTTCGAGTAGCTGCGACCGCGTGCGGCTGTGGCTATCACTTTGGATAACGGTCTCAAACTCCTGACATAGGTAAATCAGAATGAGCGCGGGGTGCTGGCTCTCCGCAAACATAAACTCTGACCATCGCAGCAAATGCTCCAGGCTCCGCAACTTCTGCGCCACCTCATTACGCAACCCGCGTATCCGCAGGTAATCTCGCAGAAACCCCACGCCCAATGCAACCAGCGCTCCCACAATCAAGCCCGCAATACAACCCAGGGGGCCCAGGGGGATCCCCATCACCCCGAATATCGCCGCCCCCTTCACCATCCACGCGGCCGCCGCAGAAGTCGGCGTCTACAACAAAGAGATGGCACAAAATGGGAGGCAGGAGCACGCGAATGTCATACCTTCCGCGATTGAAATGGACTAGACACGCTCTCCATAAATTTATGAATGAGGCCAGCTTAAGCAGGCCTACGAAGCGCAGTCGAGCTTCTTTGCCTCCTCAAAAAGACTTGGGGGGCGGCTGCTGTGATCAGCCTCTTGGCAAAAGACGACGACACTCAGACATCTCCGCTCTGACAGTTCAGACGACAAAGGACAGGCATCTAACCATCAAACCAAGAAAACGGAAACGCAAACCCCGACCTCATCATCAAGGTAACAGTGGACACGCACATAACGTAGTTGTCTCTAGACGCCTCGGCTGGAACATCTCCATTTTTGCCGCCGCCCCCGTTGCCCACTGCCTCCCAGCTGAATCCGGCAAGAGAACGCTTGAAGCGGATAAGCTGCTCGGCTGAGCCCACTTACCTCTGTTTGAAATGCTCGGATAAGTCACTAGAAGATCTTATCCCCACTATCCCCATGCCTGCCTTAGTGTATCTGCACCCAAATAAAGTAAGCAGCGCTCCTGATGGTAGCAGGCCATCATTCCTCACCACCAATCACTATTCCTTTGCCGAGGGACCTTGATCCGCTCTGTAAAATGCGCGCGCACACGCGTGTGCACCGGCATAAAATGGGCTAATTGGAGGATTACTTAGACCACGGCAGAAAAAGATCGTAAAGGTGTCAGTAAACTTAATCCCCAGGCAAGAGCGCGAATTATTAACTTCCTGGTTCATTGCCAGTGTAAGTTGCCCCATCCGCCATCTCCGTTTACTCTACATGTTAGCGTCTCATGTTTCGACAGATTCTGCGGCTTGACCCTGAGAAAGGGGGATAAGGATGCGCGATCTAAGATCCTAGAAAGCCTATCTGCTGTAGCTGCGGCTTGCTTTCATCTTGCATCGAAAATCGAGGACGTCTGGCCGTTGGACCCCGCAGATCTTTCCCTTTCTGCATCAGGGGCGTTCAGCGTGTGCGATATCTTGCTTTGGGAAAGAAGGATTTGCCACGTGCTCGACTTCAAGATATCAGTTCCGACGCCGTTCGACTACTTACTCCAATATCTGAAAATGATTGAACAAGATGAGAAGCGAGCGCGGCTCAAGTCCAAGGTTTGCTCAAAATGTCAAGGACCGGTTCCTGTGTCCAAGGCGCATTCATCAACGGAACAAACACAGCGTACAGGACAACTCAATAATGAGACAAATGAACTAAGCAGCGATGAGCGGCAACAGAACAGTGACGACCAGCCGAACACAGATGAGAAACAAAGCACAGACAGGAACGAGACGGACAGGAGGGAAAGAGACAGGAACGAGACGGACGGGAAAGAGAATGTTCATGAACAGCAGAATAACAAAAGTAAGACCAGCTCAATGCAAGAAACGTCGACCGTCAACGGGCGGGCATCCACGGCAGGTAAAACATGCCGCTCGAGTCTGACCGGGGCGAACTCTCCGAGAATCATCTCGGGCCCCCCTGTGGTACTGAGCAACGGGCAGACCCGTGGTCGACACTCTGAATCACTCTTCCGCTTGTTGGCCGACCAGTGGAAGCGGCCCAAGTCGTGTTTTGAGGCGTGTGTCGTGTTCTTGCTGGAGCTGGCCATTGTGCACCCGATTTCGACGCAAATTGGGTACGACGTGCTGGCCGCTAGCACGATCGTAATGGTCCTGAATGTGCTGACGGACGCCGCGGCAGTCACGCTACCCGATGAAATTATGTCGAAGGCGGACGCTATGGCCTCGCTGGTATCGGTCTATAAGGAGTATATCATGGCTCAGGAAGAAGTCGAGCGCCGTCTCCGACAAAAGTGTGAAACGGTGGCGGCCATTGTGGTGCCGGTGGACGCCGTGGACGACGACGAGAGCGAACTGGACCCTGGTGGACCTGGAGGTTCAGGAGCAACCGGAACTGGTAAGAAGGAGCGGAAGGATCTGAGACAACGAGATACGGCTGGAGACGAGAACGCGCCCCCTGGTCCGCGAGCCTCTGTGAAGGGCGCCAAGTCGGCGGCGAAACCCGGCACGGCGGCTCACTACAAGGGACTCCTGGCCGAGCCGAACGCCGCTTTGAGGAGGACGCGACTCACAGCGTACATCATCAACCGGGGGGACGCCTGTGGCCTGAACATTTCGCCGCAGCTGGCCCGACGGACGGCGGAGCTAATCCTGGGGGGCGGGGAGTGGGCCAAGCTCGACACCACCCCGGATCTGCAGCCGGTCACCGTTGAGTCGCACCTGCCCCTCGGGGTGTTTGGAGCAGTAAGGAATCAGGGGGGTAACGATCAGTATGGTGGGAGTGGCTGTCATAGTATATTGGGTGGGGTGGTCACTGGGGGTGTCGCAGTGGGGGGCTGGTGGTGATGTGTTGCAGGATGTGGCTGACAAGCATGAGGACGCGGCGGTGTTTTTCCGGTCGCGGTTCCGGTCGTGGTTGTCGAAGCACATTGAGTGTCGGACACCACCGGGAGCGAGTGCGAAAGGTGAGGAGGGTGAGTGGAGGGGTGACGCGATGTCTGTGCAGAGTTGGGTGCGGCGCGTGCAGTGGCAGCGCCAAGGGAGAATTCGACGACGTCTACGGCTGCGGACAGCTTGCCTTCGAAGGGGGGTGGCGGGGCACCGGAGGAGGAAGGTGAAGCGCGCGTTTGGGAAAACTGATGCGCTCAGCGGCTCTCCTGTGTTTCTGTTTGGTCGGCGGTGCACCGCCACCGGTGACTGGTCCTGGACAGTACTCGCGAGACGTGTATCAGGACGCGGTCCAACCGTACAAGTAGGTCCGCCTTCCCTTCATCCTTGACGCCCGTCCCGCCGCAGTGGTCTGTACTCAAGGGGCGTGCCACTCCGCACCATTCGGAACGGCTACGTAGGGCCCAGTAACAATAAGATCTTTCTCCCTACGTCCACCACCGTCCCGCCGACCTCTGTTCCCGGGACCGAGTTTCGGGAGCAGGAGATTCCCTTCCGAGAAAGCGCAGCACGGAGTAGCCTACTCCCAGGTAACAATTCGCAAGAGCGCCGGCCTGCTCCTGTGGCGCAGCAGGCAGAACGACTGATCGACAACCCGCGCCTGCCCAAGGGCCAAGTGGACGGCCGCGCCTGGGCGGTGCCCAAGTTTGAGGACCCAAAGAACGACCACCCAACGACCGACCCAAAGAATGACGCGAAAATTGAAGAGCACGACGCGGAGGCGGAAACCAAGGGTCTCACGGTACCAGAGCCTTCGCCGGCCGCGCTGCCGCTCGCTGACGTGACTTCAATCGACGAAGCCACCTCCTCACTCGATGCGCCACTCGGTGACGACATAGACAGCGAGGAGCCCGCTCCCCAACCCGAGTCCACAAACCCGTCCCCGGAGGAGTCAAAACCCGTCGGCTCGCTTGTAGACGTGTTCAATAAATGGGGCTCTAACTTTGGCTTTGAAGTTGTCGCCGACATTTCGGACGGCGAAGAGTCCTGGGGAATCCAGACGATTGTGGAAGAGGTGCCTTCACGATCCCTCTATGACTCCATTGGATCAATTTTTAACTACCTTTTGTCCTAATTAGACCGTTAGCTAGTGCGCGCACACGTGTGTGCGCGCATAAATTACCGAGTGAACACGGAAATGATTGAACCGCACACAGCCGAGCAGCTATAAGTTGAGTCTGTATAAGGCGCAGCTATGAGCGCGCGTGGAGTTTCATCGTCCAGCCCTCTGTCCGCGTTGTAGGTGGGCCAAGATATGTGTTGAGCCAGGCGGCGTTGTAATAAATGACAGTGTATTTGAGTCCATTGGTAAAAGCAGTGGTCTAGAGGTCTTCGATGTCGATGACATCCTGGTCGTCCTGGTTCTCGAACCCGATGTCATCACCATCGTCATCGCTGCCGTAGCCCTCACCCGCGCCTATCGTTTCGACGACACGGAACGCCTCTGGGATTTCCCTCATCTGCTTGAGCGTCCGGACTTCGTCGGGGTTATATTTGTGGATGATATCTCCCTTCTCGTCTTGGTACTCACGAAGAGAAACTAGTACCACATCGCCCGCGTTAATCCATACCTTCTTGCGCATCTTCCCGCGAATGTGACAGAGTCGTTTCGCGCCATCAACGCATTGTGCTTCCAAACGGCCATTGCCCAGCATCTTGAGCACCTGTGCGTACTCTGTAACACGGGGCGTATGAAGTGTATGTGCTGCGTCCGGGTGTGCTACTTTACGGGTGTGTTGCCCTCGGGTGCAACCACGGTGGCTACATTTGTGTTACGCGTTTGTGCCGTGCTTCTTTTGTCTCTGTCACTAACGCCACCGGTTGGGTCGTCGGAACTCTCTGGGTCGTCAGAACTCCCTGGGTCGTCAGAACTCCCTGGGTCGTCAGAACTTCCTGGGAGCTTAGCGCCCACCGGGGTATGCCCCGACGCGCCCGAAGTGTGTGTGTGAGAACGTACCCTGGCACGGCTCCTTGAGAATGAGCTCCCGCTTGTCACCGAAAGCGTCGTTCTTTCCCCTTCTGCGATTTTTGCCGCCTTTACCAGCCTTCCCAGCCATGGACTCTTTTTTTAAAAAGCTGCACCCACGCGATTGCCATGGAGGAAGTGCTGAAACTGCTCGAACAAAAACGCGCGAAAGAGCGTCAAGAGCGCGCGCGCTTGGAAGAGAAAGTCAACGCTCTCGCCACACACCAAGACGCCAACGAAAAACTGAATGAACAGGTACGGCTTAGATCGCCCTGTACCTGAGGTGTCACCAGTGGTTGTACCCGAGGCTGTTCCTGAATAATATCTGGGTCGCCACCTGGGGCGTTACCTAGAGCGTTGGCTCGGACCATGCCAGTGCCGTGCTGTTGCCTCTGCGGTGTCCTGTTCCCCCCTCCCCCGGTGTGCTACCCTTCCTCCCCCCGGTGTGCTTCCCTCTCCGCTGTCCCCCGTTGTACTTCCCTCTCCGCTGTTTCCGGGTGTCGTCTTCCCAACCCCGGAGTGCCGTATCAATAATTAACGTATCGTGAACGACAGATCAACATCGTGAATCGAGTGTTGGACTCTACCACCTGTATGAAAGTGGAGCATGCGAACCGCGTCCTGACGGACAAGTTGTCTTGGCAAAATGACGCGGACATGGCAGAGATCGAGGAGAGTCTGCGCAAGAGTCAGGCGATCATTCATGGGTTGCAGGCGAACCTCAGTCTTCACGACCCGCAGCACCCGCACCATCCGCACGAGGAGGGGCAGCATCAGGAGCCTGCAGGTTGTGTGGACCAGTACAGCACGGCGCACCGGATTTTGGGGCAGCAGCTGAGTCCGGATTTAGCGGAGATGAAAGCGACTAGATTTTTAGTTTTTGACCGGCAAGGTCGTTGCCTTGGCAATGTGGACCCGCCGCTCTGTATGGAACTCCAAAAGGGCGAACCTCCAGTACCCGCCCGGTCCGGGCTGGGGTTGACAGTGGAGGCAGGCAACGGGGGTCGAGCTCCGGGATCTGCCCTCCCGGCTGCCCAGGCCACCAAAGCCAAAGCCGAGACACAGACGCTGTCACTGCACGACAGGAAGCCGACGTTGCCAAAACCAGCCGCTGCAGGCAAGGGGTCGGGAGCTGTATCGGGTGCGACGTCGAGTGTGGGTGACGACGACTTCGACACGGCCTTGATAAAGGCCATCACGGCGTTGATGGAGGACGCGAAGAAACGAAGAAGTCCGTCTTCCTCCGCGTCCTCGTCCTCTTCCTCAAACTCCACCTCCTCTTCCGAGAGTTCTCTCAACCGAGGACGTGACCGGGGGCGGGGGGGACGTGACCGGGGACGGGGCGAGGCGGAGGTAGAGGTGGATAGTTTGGGTCGTCGGGAGCGGCGACAAAAGACACTACGGTTGGAAAGGGATTCAAGTGGGGAAGAAGAGAAGGGCGGGAGGGTTATGGACAAGGGAGGGGCGGCAGTGCGCCGTAAGAAGTTCCGGGAGCGGGTGCCATTGGAGGCATTGGATGATGAGTTGGCTGAGGATCTGGATGTGGAATATCCGGGTATAAGTGCATTAGCCATGAACTCATTGGGACGGGGTGCGTATGGAGAGAGTCAGTGGAACAAGTTGGAACGTCGGATCCGTCGTCTGACATATCAGGCGGCAATGAATCAGCGCGTAAGTGCGGCTTACGTGGACGACTTTGTCTGGGACGAAGAGGCACCTAAAATGGGTCCGGTGGACCTACCTTCGATATCGGAAGTGGTTGGGAACGCAGATGTCGGTGGCCCCCGGTTGCTTAAGGCCAGTGCATGGAAGGAGAGCGACGGACTACCACGCAAACTACACGGTGGCGGCGGGCTACAACGACCTCGACACAACAAGTTTTTGTCCACCGCAGAACTCGCCTACTATCACAGCCAACTCTCCGACGAAGACCAACTCAACTTAGTCTCCGTGCTACTCGCTTGTCGGAAACTTGAGAAGACACTAGACGATCAAAACACAGTCATAGACATGCTACAAAGAGATCTTGAACAAACACGCAAAACCACATTTGATGTCCCCGACAATCTCACAGCCGACCAATTCATCAACCTTCTCGACCTCGATGGACCTGTACCATCAGACTACTTCCAACTACCCGAATGCACTTCCGCTTTCTACTCACGACTCCACTCAGACCCTGCTTCCGTCCTCTCCCGATCCGCCGCCGCTGACACTGAACAACGACTCAAGGATGCCATGCGACAAGCGGTGTTAAAACCAGTGCATTCTCCACAGATCATACACAGAATCGTCGAAGACGTACTAGGCAACAAGAAGGCGCAGTGGCAAGTCGGTCCCCCCGCCAAAACCGTTGCGAAAACCACCACGAAGACGACGGCGGAACCCAAGTCTGGGGGCGAGAAGAAACCAGGGGGCGAGAAGAAACCAGGGGGCGAGAAGAAACCAGGGGCCGAGAAGAAACCAGGGGCCGAGAAGAAACCAGGGGCCGAGAAGAAACCAGGGGCCGAGAAGAAACCAGGGGCCGAGAAGAAACCAGGGGGCGAGAAGAAACCAGGGGCCGAGAAGAAACCTGGGGCCGAGAAGAAACCTGGGGGAGCTAAATCTGACGCGAAACTGACCGACCAGAAAAGTGGCCCGGGAAAGAAACTGTCCGTCGGTTCCGATGCGACACCTACTAAGTCGATCTCCGATCTTAAAAAGTCGTTCGCGGCCGGCGACGCCAAGAAAGAGTCATCTAAAGGGGCTCCAAAGGAATCCTCGGTCAAATCGGGATCCGTTAAGTCGGCCGCTGGCAAGATTGGTGAAACTGTCAAACCGGGAACAGCGAAACCAGGTGCTGGGAAACCTGGAGAAGCAGCCAAGCCAGGAGCGGCGAAGCCTGGGGGAGCTGCGAAACCGGGAGAAACAGCGAAGCCAGGAGCCGTGAAATCGGGAGGAGCTGCGAAGCCGGGCGAAGCAGCGAAACCTGGAGCCGCGAAACCGGGAGAAGCAGCGAAGGCAGGCGCTGGGAAGCCCGGAGGAGCTGCGAAGCCGGGAGAAGCAGTCAAGCCAGGAACGGCGAAGCCTGGGGGAGCTGCGAAACCGGGAGAAACAGCGAAGCCAGGAGCCGCGAAACCGGGAGGAGGTGTGAAGCCGGGCGAAGCAGCTAAGGCAGGAGCTGGGAAGCCCGGAGGAGCTGCGAAACCGGGAGAAGCAGTCAAGCCAGGAGGAGCTGCGAAACCGGGAGAAGCAGTCAAGCCAGGAGGAGCTGCGAAACCGGGAGAAGCAGTCAAGCCAGGAGGAGCTGCTAAACCAGGAGAAGCAGCGAAGCCTGGAGCCGCGAAACCGGGAGAAGCAGCGAAGGCAGGTGCTGGGAAGCCCGGAGAAGCTGCGAAGCCAGGAGCCGTGAAACCGGCAGGAGCAGCGAAGGCAGGGGCTGCGAAACCGGGAGGAGCAGCGAAGCCAGGGGCTGCGAAACCGGGAGAGGACGCTAAGGCGATTAAGAAAGAAGAGGCTAAGAATGCTGAAATCAAGAAGGCAGAGGCCAAGAAGGAAGAGGCTAAGAAAGCGGAGATCAAGAAGGTCGAACCTAAGAAGGCGGAGGTCAAAAAAGCTGAGGTGAAGAAAGCTGAGGTGAAGAAAGCTGAGGTGAAGAAGGATGAGTCTAAGAAGGCGGAGATAAAGAAGGCTGGGGAGAAGAAGGAAGGTGCCAAGAAAGCGGATGTCAAGAAGGAAGATGGCAAGAAAGCTGAGGTGAAGAAAGCGGACGTCAAGAAGGCTGAGATGAAGAAAGCTGAGGTGAAGAAGGAGGAGGCTAAAAAAGGTGAGGTGAAGAAGACAGAGGCCAAGAAAGAAGAGGCTAAGAAAGAAGAGGCTAAGAAAGTCGAAGTAAAGAAGGCAGAGGCCAAGAAGGAGGAGGCTAAGAAAGCGGAGATCAAGAAGGTCGAAGCCAAGAAAGAAGAGGTTAGAAAGGTCGAGGCGATGAAAGCTGCGGGAGAGAGCAAGAAGGCAGAGGTGAAGAAAGAGGAGGCTAAGAAGGGAGAGGAGAAGGGGGCGGATGCGAAGCAGAAGAAAGTGGAGCTCAAGAAGGTTGAGATGAAGATGCCACCGGGCAAGGATGGCACGAAGAAGTTGGAAGCCAAGAAGTTGGAAGCCAAGAAGTTGGAAGCCAAGAAAGGCGAAGTGAAGAAAGGTGAAGTGAAGATGAAAAAGGAAATGGCTCCGAAACCTGGCAAGAAGCTCGTAGCAAAGAAGAGTTGATTTAGCAGTTGATGTGGCAGTCAACTGAGATGGTTAGATACTTGTGTGCATTGACCGATCGAGTGGCCAAACCGAGCGCTGGATTCGGTGTATAAGATATTTGTCAATTTTTCGTACCGTTTTGGTGAAAGAGTTCCAGACGGTGCTTTCCGGGACTCGCGTTGTGGGCTGGTTGGAATTGACATCAGTGGGACTTATTCGTTGGTCACCATTTGGTGTGTTATTAAAGGACTGGTTGGTGAGCCAGGGGAGCATTTTGGGGAGTGCCATCGTGCTGACTGTGACAGTGAACAGAGTGTACACCAGACACGCGGATACCAGAGCGCTTCCTGCTGCCCCTCCGCCCAAATCAGCCTTTGCTTTTAAGGCCAAGGCCACGGCTGTAGCTCCACGAGCAGACAGGAAAGCGATTAATAGCTGTTCCCGGGGACGTATATATTCAGCGCAAGGCGTCCGTTCGACCTCAAGACAGCGGCCATCAGAAGCACCGACGTCGGAATGATCCCCCTCAAGGCTCCCCACGGGATGATCAACACCGATCCTGAGATGGGTGTCGATCATCCCGTGGGGACCCACGGCTATCCCGTGGGGAGCCACGGCTATCCCGTGGGGAGCCACGGCTATTTCACCAAATAAAGTGCGGGTTGGAATCCGTCCCGTTGAACTTGGTTGCATTGAAATCCGTTCAGACGTACCTCTAAAGACTAGTGCACTATGTGCTCTTATCTCGTTCTGATCAGACGGGGCCTGCTGGCTATTCTGGTACAGCCGGTTCACAATGCTTGAAGTCACAAGGACACTGATCAGACGGACTACAGACACGCCTACAATTATGATTACGTGAAGAGATATTAGATGGAAGATCGAGATGGACGAGACGAGAGGCTTAATCCAGTCCGGTATGGCAGGGGACTTGTCGATTTCCGCCCTCATGTCCAGGAAAGGTTTCAGCAACGTTCTGCCCAATGACAGTGACACACCGAGAAAGATATAACTCATTGCCTCAGCAATCAGCGCCACACACCTGAACACACTTCTACACATCGTCATGAACGACTGTCTTGGAGGAATCGACTGTCTTGGAGAAATCGACTGTCTTGGAGAAATCGACTGTGTACATGGGTCCGCTTCATAGATTAATTTGGAGTAGCGAGCCGTTCCAATTCCGCAGAATAGACAGACAACCATTCCCGACATCCCGATCATCTCACCGACCAAATAAGAAATCCATGGCGACAAGAGAACCATAATCAGTTTGAACTCGGTAGAGCTGTGAGGTTTCGCAGCAGGGGACCTGGAGACTGGGGGTTCGGTCGCAGACCTACGGCAAGCGGCACCTACTTGTCCGGTCTTTGCACACTCCAAGTCCACACACTCCAAGTCCACACATTCGGAGTCCACACAGTCGGAGTTCACACATTCATCCTCTGTGGAGAGAGAGTCTTCCAGATCGGTGGTGGCCGCAAATCGTCGTTCTCTATCCGCGCCCTGGGTATCGACGCCCTGGGTATCGACGCCCTGGGTATCGACGCCCTGGGTATTGACGCCCTGGGTATTGACGCCCTGCGTATTGACGCCCTGCGTATTGTCGGTCTTGGTTGATTCAATGAACCTAATGGAGTACGGAAACAAGAACGATAGTGCAATGCCCAATACCATCGAAGCTAAGCCGATACCAACGGTCGCCAGAAACATCAAAACTGATAGCCACAGTCCACTCGGGCAGGTTACCACCAGCCGGTATAAACTCAGAGCCACGACGTCGTTGAACATGGTCTCACCTACCACAATCGCATCCACCAAAGGCGGAAGCGGATAGAGCCGAAAGAGAGGCAATACGGCAACCAAATCCGTCGCAGCAAGGATGGTCGCGACAGCCATCGATTGACGTAGCGTTAACGACACACTCATATATACCAATCCAGGTAAATATAAGACTAAGAAATTCAAGCAAAAGGCCAACTACAATGTAGATATCCTATGTATGGTGAAACTTACAAAGGTGCCGAAAAAGGCAAACCATAGGATTGACCCCAGCCGCTTCATACAACGTTCTGCCTTCGTCTCCATTATCATGAAGCCACTCGCAAAGACTATTGGCGGTAATAGAATCGTTAGAAACACATTCTCGTTTAGATACGACACATCACGGAGCAATTCGTCGTGGGAAGCAAATCCCAACAATGTTACGAACACACCGACCAACGTCCCCACAACCGATACTGACCACATGGGCCCGACCTTATTCGATAAGCTACAAACATACGGACTCTCTCAAATCTGCACACACGTGTGCGAATTCCCAAATGGTCTTACAAAGTTGACAAACCAATGCTTAGAATGACTGAGGTGCCCATGAGCAAGACACCGAGCTTCATGTTCTGTTCCTCTAGCTTGTGGAGCGCCTCTGCAGTGGTGGCGGATACCGCCGCTGCTGCACTAGTCAACGCCGACGGCTTCTGTGCATGCTCCACCAGACGTGGCAGGTACATCCATTAAAAATATAGCCGGGCGAGACTCTTTAATCCGACCCAGTGGCCGGGACGGGTCGGGAGATTAGGTCGGGAGACCGGGTTCGCCGGGTCCTGGCGGCATGTTTCCTAACTTACAAAACAGATCACGGGCTAGGGCAGATCACGAGCTGACTCGTCGCTCACGGAGTGGAGCGTAGTGGATCGCCCCCTCATCGTCGTAGATGGTCGCTGTCTGTCAGCAAGAGCTGGCGCGTTGGGTGCTGCTCAGTGGTTTGCCTCCTTCAGATGATGTCGAGTCTAGTGGTGTTGAGCTCGATGCCAGCTGCATGGCTGGCAGGAGGGTTGGAGAGGGTGAGCGCGGCGGTGGTTGTGACGTTTTCGTCTTCGGGTTTGCCGGTCCAGAAGTTGAAGAGTTCTTCTCCGCCTCGTTGCATTGACTCGCCGGCTTTACCAACAACGGAGTAGCCGACTTCAACGAATTGGTCGAGGCCTGCGCGTTGGACGTAGGGTCTGAGGAGCGGGTGTTTTGAGGCCCAGGAGAGGGCGCCGAGTGCGACTGCGCTAAGCACGACAGTCCAAAGTGTAGCACGCGCAGGTGCAGCCATTGGACTGCCAGGCGGGCATGGCATCGGCACCTTCTCAGGTGCCCAGCCGCCTTTACACTCATCACCCGGAACCTTGCGCCAGGCATGTGTATAATACACACCTGAACTCGTGCATCCCTCAATCGCCATATATTCACGATCCTCATACGGCGACGGCTCACACTCCGCATCCGTCTCGTGGTTAACGGGCCTGAAGAAGCCGGTTTCACACATATAGTTCTCACGACTACACTCGCAAGTATGTTTGTCCTTCAATCGGACAAAATCCTTCCCGTTAAAGCACTCGCGATAAGGCTTCTTCCGTACATACTTCACACGACGACCTAGCATGCACCGCGAATTCTGCTCCTCTTGAGACGTATACCAATACTCGTAATCTGACCCACCGGCCGGACTGCCACCACCAGACAATTGGTCCAGTCCCGGCCCGCTGTTCTCCGCATTCACAACACCCTCCGCACCGACAGGGGCTGCGACCGTACCGGCGACCGTGCCGGCGGCGACCGCCGAGCTAAGGTCCAACTTGCTCGGGTTGTCGGGGCGTGTCATGCCAATGCATTGCCGCTGATTGAGAGTGCCAAAGTCCGTGTGGAACAGAACGCCCTTCTCACCAATCGTGCCATAAACCAGGAACTCGAGCCCAGTCGATGTTGGCTCGATGATCACATTGTCCACAGCCACGTCGTTCATACCCAACGTGAAGTCGTACCAACTTTGACCCTCGTTCCAACTGAAGACCACCTGGCCCGTCTTCTTGTTGTCGTGCGCCATAACCACCAGTCCGCCGTGGTCGCCGAATTCGTAAATGTAACTACCCTTGTGCGCCTCAGCCCAGGTACGACCAGCATCCCGGCTAATGTAGGTGTTGATATCTGCGGCGTCACGGGAAAGATGCGCTCCCACGTTACCAGTACCCATGACGAGACCGAGTGCGTTCTCGCTGGAATAAAAGGGCGCGAACCGGTCGAAGTGGGTAATCCCATGTAGATGAAGCCAGCATTTTTGAGAGTCCTCACATGAAATTCGGTTGCCCAATGTGTCCTTGGTCGGCGGTTTCAAATATTGCCAAGACCCTCCCTTGTCGAACGAAATCACAGTTCGCACCACCGGACTGGTCTGCCGTCGCGAAGAGGCTGCCTTCATCATGCCCATCGATCCCTCCTCGTCCTCCTCACCTGCGCGCCGCAAATCTTCTTCACCATCGCCACCTTCGAGCACCGAATCACTCCGCGTGTTCGCGATATACACGCCTTCTACACCGACGACTTTATCGAACTCGCACTCGCCCGTTGCCGCCCTAATATTGTTCGGTAACGATAGCGAGAACTTGGTCCCTGTCGAGTCCGACACATATACGTTACCTTCGAGGATGCCCGGCGAGGTTGAACCGTGGTTCACATGGATCAGGACATTACCACCTGAGGTGTCCAGAATTGTATAACTCTTCTCCATCATCTTCGAACTTGGGATCTGGGCCTTATTGAAACTCCGTCCTCCGTCGCTTGAAACCATTAAACTCACCGTCTGTCTCAAATAATCATCTACCGTCGCCACAAATACAAAATCTTTCGCCACTAAGAACTTGTTGCCCCCAGGCACCAATACATGCCGTTTAGTGCCCCAATTCGTTAATTTAACGAATTCCGTGTTCGCATGCCATCCTCCCCAGCGTGGCTGATGTTTGCGCACACGTGTGTGCTGCGTCATGAATATTGCATCCGCCTGCTCCTTCAGGCTCTTATCGCCCCAATTATACTGAATCACGAAATCAGCAACCTTGCTCACGGTACGCCCGCCATTGGTCGTGATATATAACTGGTGATTGCAGTCTCCAATCGTAGGACCAGGACGGCGACCTCGGCAACCCGCAGTCCATTCGGACATGAGCGCATGTGTTGGTCGCAACGGGTGCCATACCCAGTTGTGCACAAATGTCCGACGACCCAACGGGTACCAGGTGATCCCCGCATTCATCGTTAAGTAAGTCTGGTCTCCTTTCGTCAGCAATACGGCGTAGTTCTTGTTAGTTGGATGTACCTTGATAAACTCAAAGAACCGCTCAGGACGGACTGGAGGGCCACGAGCCACGGTATTGTTGGGTGTCGTCACAGACTCTGCTTCCGACTTGTCCAGTGTCTTATCCACAGTGTACGTGATGTCCTGGAACGTGCGACCACTATTCGGCGACCTCCAAACATGCCCGCGGGTAGTAAGCACCATCACTACCGAGTGGTCCTGACGGAGCCATTGAATGTCCGACAAACCCGAGTCAAATCTTGTCGGGGTCACGTCCACTGAAATAAGCAAGCCATATCACCCATGCCCGGTGACCCACTTTACGCCCCACTGCCATCCCAGATGTTGCACCCGTCCCAAGTTGCACCCGTCCCAAGTTGCACGTCCGCGCGAGTTGTTGGAATGCAAATAATGGCTAACCTTTCTTGTCAGTCAGGGCCGCAAGGCCGGGTAGCAAAAGACATATCAGCCACAGCAGACGCCGCAGCATGGTCGGTTTTCCCGAGACTCGCGCGCGTGTCCACTACATGTGATTGCGTGGCACTACATGAAGTCGTCTTCGGCGGCGCGACAACCCTCGATGGTACCGTCGGCTTCCTCGGCGTCGGCGAAGGGGTCCTTGCGCACGACTTTGAGGTCCACGTAGTGCTTCAGTCGGTAGGCAGTTCTGTCCTCCTCTTCTGCCTTCTTCTTGGCCAACGCTTCCTGCTTCTTGGCTTTCTTCCCCTCCTCAATCTCGCTACGATCCCGACCCCGGCGCTCCTGGATATACTCCTCCTCCGTCTTGACTACGTGCTTCCGCGTCTTCTCCAACTTCCGCAACAGCTCACGGTCTCGGTTCACCCCTCGCACCTTTATCACTTTCCGACGGTTGTGGAAACCAATGGTGCCAATGTCCATCCCTTTCTCTTTCTTCAAGTTGCTCCAAGGCGTATATACCACGTCAATAGACGGCTGCTTAGACCCCTCAATACTATTGCCCTTCGTCAGCTGACATAGCTCATTAACCATCTCTTCACTCAAGTCATCTATCGCTAATCACGTACAGATATCTCAACAACCACCCTACCCCTCCAAGTAACTGGCATATAGTGTGGACACACTGATGTGTTGTATTGACACTGATGCGTGTGGGCGTACTTTTTCCCTTGGGCAGTCTGACGTAGACGTGGGCACTGGAGTAGTCGTCCGCGTGGAACCAAATGTCCTCCGGGAACCCGTGCGCTATGAGTAGCTCATTCTCGAACTTGTCATCGCCCATGAATATACACAGGTCCTTCCCCTCCGGCAGTTGCGACTCGAACACGAACATCCCCTAAAAAATGCCGCGACCAAAGGGCCGAGGCCAAAGGGTTGAGCTACGACCAAAGGGTTGAGCTACGACCAAAGGTTGAGCTACGACCAAAGGGTTGAGCTACGACTAAAGAGCCACGGCAAAATGACCCGGTTTAGAGAGCAGACGACCAGGCCACGCCCCCGGCCAAGAATGCCGCCTGCTCTAGACCGGGCGTGGCGCTGCCGGTCAGGAGCGACTCCTTGGCGACGCGTGCTCGGGCCCCCACATCCGCGTCGCTCGTGTTACTCGACAGCGGCGAGGGCACGGGATTCGGTAACCGGGTTTCCTCCGCGCTCCCCAAGTCCAACGCTAATACCGGTTGGAAGGGGTCGAGGAGTCTGGGCGAGAATTCCCGCGGCGAGAATCCGGACATAGAGAACTCGTCGCCTTCTCGGCTCTGCCGCGAGGCCACCATCTGCGCCAACCGATCGGCCTTGCGAGCCTTCGCCGGGACCGCCTCTTCGGGCTGGCCGGGCGTCGAACCGGCGACCGACGTCAGACTGGACACCCCACCACCCGAAAGGCCCGTCGTCGACGGGCGAGGGGCGGACTTTTCCACAACATCCAACTCTGGCGCCGACCGCGGTTGCGCTGCCTTGGCCGTTGTCTTGGTCGTGGTGTTGGGCTGCGTCTGGCCGGCAAGTGTGTCTGCAAACGAGTACGGGTCAGGACGTCCCAGACCTGACCCCAGACCTGGCCCCAGACCTGGTCCCAAACCTGGTCCCAGAGCCGGGTCTTCGAGACCCAGAAGTCGCAGGCGCGATCCGAGGTCCACGCTGCCGCCTTCCGCTGTCTTAAGTTCAATACTCGGGACGGGCCCCAAAAACTCCAGTTCCGGCTGTGCCTCGAGCACTGGTGGGGCGGGCTTCGGCGACACCGCCTTCTTCAGCCGCTTCGCCAGGCCCGTCTTGGCGCCGGCCTTGGCGGCTCCCAGTCGATCCGCACCCTTGGCTCCCTTGCCGCGGACTTTGGCACCAGCCCTGACTTCCTTGGGTCTAACTCCCTTGGTCCCGAGTTTGGCCACGACTCGCGTCCCTTTGCCAGCAACTTTTTTCGCACCCAACTTCTTCACGCCCAGTCGTTTGCCCACTGCCCCGGCCTTCGGTAGGCGGCGCGGACCCAACCGAACAGCACCGGGCTTCGCCAGCCTAGCAGCTCCTTGAGGGCGCTTCCCAGCCACCCCCGCACGGGTCTTGGCGGTGGCCGTTTTGCTTGCGGCCTTGATTCTCAGTCCTGCCTTCCCCACAGCCTTCTTCCCCACAGCCTTCTTCCCCACCACCTTCTTCCCCACAGCCTTCTTCCCCACCACCTTCTTACCCACCGCCTTCTTACCCGCCACCTTCTTACCCACCACCTTCTTCCCCACCACTCCATGTTTGCCGCCCCGCTTCGCCAGCCCTGCTTTCCGCGGTTCCGTCACAGGACCGACCGCTCCCATCTTGCCCGCGGCAGCCACTCTGCCTTTGACACCTGCAGCCTTTCTGGCACCTAGCTTAGCCACCACCCTTCTAGCCACCGCCCCCCGGACTGCCCCGCGGACCGCAGCCACAGGCCCCCCGGCTGCGGTCACCGGGCCGTGGGAGACCATTCCGTGTGCAGAGTCTCTGTGTTTCGCCACCGCACTTGACGGCCGTGGACCGCCAGCGGCGGACGGCCGGGCACCACCCCCGTGCCCGTGTCTTGTAGCGCCCACCCCGTGGGCTTTCTCCGGAGTGGGGACCACCCTTCGGGTCGGGGCCACCCCTCGAGTCGGGACTGCCTTCCGAGTCGCGACGGCAGCGCCCCCTGGGACCTTGTTGGGCGTGACCCTCGACGCAAAGGCCGGGTGCACGGTCGAAACTGCCTGCCGTCGGGCCGCACTTCGGTCCCGAGAACCTGAGCGTTCGGCCGCGGGCAATTTGCGGGTGCTGGATGTAGAAGGAGGCCGTCGCGTCCGATGCTCCTCCCCAGGACGGCTCCGTTTTGGCCGTGGTGACTCATCGGGCCCTGCAGTTCTCGATGCGGATCGGGACTTGGGGCTCGGCGGTGGTCGACTCCGGCTTCGGTCCATCGCCCGACTTCGGTCCATCGCGCGACTTCGGTCCATCACCCGACTTCGGTCCATCGCGCGACTTCGGTCCATCGCGCGACTTCGGTCCATCGCGCGACTTCGGTCCATCGCGCGACTTCGGTCCATCGCGCGACTTCGGTCCATCGCGCGACTTCGGCCCATCGCGCGACTTCGGTCAATCTCCCGACTTCGGTCCATCGCGCGAGATGGTGGCTGCGATGGGTCGCGTCGAATGCGGGAACCCGAGTGTCCACTCGCCCCTGACGGGGAGCGACTGAGTCCTTCTCGGGATTCGCGGTTGGTTCCGCGATTAGCGTCTGGTCGGCGTCGACCACTGGGCATCTGGGATTGTGGTCGAGACCGGGATCCCCGATCGGTCGACTGATCCGGTCTTGAGGAGCGGTCTCGTCGTGAGTAAGACCGCCCTGCACTCCGGGGACCTTGGGACCGGTTCAGAGCCTGGGACCGACGGAGTGCTTGCGATCGTGCCAGGACCATCCGCGATTTTTGCGTCACCATCGACCTCTGCAGTGATGGGGACCGTTTCGACATGGCATCTGCCCGCGGCGTGTGGAGTTTAGACTTAGCGAACATCGTAGATCGCGGACCGGCTGAAGGAGGTCCTGCTGCGAAACTGCCAGCTGGGGACTTATCTCGACTCCGTGGAGACTTATCTCGACTCCGTGGAGACTTATCTCGACTCCGTGGAGACTTATCTCGACTGCGCGGAGACTTATCCCGACTCCGTGGTGACTTATCCCGACTCCGTGGTGACTTATCTCGACTCCCCGAAGACTTGTCGCGACCCCGTGGGGACTTATCTCGCCCCTCTCCATCTCGGTCCCAGTCCGCACGGCCTCTTTCGTGGTCCCGTGAATCTGAGCGGTTCCGACCTGATCGGTCCCGACCTGAGCGGTCTGAATTTCGGTCATTAGATCGGTCTCGGTGGTGGTTCGTCTGGCCTCGTCGCTTCTGCTGCAGTTGTCGCGACTGGGCCAAGCCTCCTGGCCCGCTCCGGGCTAAGACTTCCCCAGCACGTCCTCGCGCCCTTGTCTCCTTGTCCTGGTTCGCGACGAAACTCCGTCTGAGCAGCGCGGAACGCTCAAACGCCGTTTTCGTCCCTGACCGGCGAGGGGCGCTGACTGACCGCTTGGCACTGACTGACCGCTGAAAATTCGTTGACCCCTGGCCGCTGGCTGACCGTCTAGGGGACGCCCGCCAAGAGGAGTCCTCAGCCCGCTTGTCTTTCCGCTTTTTCTCTCCTTGTCGGTCCCTCTCCCTTTGTCGGTCCCTCTCATGGGATCGGTTCTGCGTACTCTGTTTCCGGGTCGTGTCTACGCCGCGAGAAAGTTGTCTCGAGGCGAGCAGCCGGGAGCCGGCGACGGACGCCAGGATGCTCGAACGGTCTTTGGGTGGCTCCCGCGACTGGGCTGAAGGCCTTCGTCCAGAAGGCTCCCGCGACTGAGCTGAAGGTCTTCGGCCAGAAGGCTCCCGTGTCTGGGCTAAAGGTCTTCGGCCAGAAGGCTTTCGTGACTGGGCTGAAGGTCTCCGGCCAGAAGGCTCCCGAGATTGGTCGGAGGGTCTCCGGTCTAGCGCCTGCGCATTGTGGCGGCGGTCGTCCTGGTGGTCGTCCCGGTGGTGTTTGTGGTGTTCCCCTTCCCTCTTTTGTGGAGTGTTGAATCTGCGAGAGGCGTCTGTGGAGCGGCTCCCAAAAATGCGTCGCGAATTAGCTTGGCCGCCGGCGCGAGACTGCAGCAGTCGCGAGCGCGACTGTAACAGCCGGCCCCCCGGGTTCGCTACAGGCATGGTGCGTTGTGGTGCCGCCCCCTCGGCGCCTCCATACAGCGCCTCTGGACTTCATCGTCGCAGCGCCAGTTGGACGCAGCCGCCTTCCGCAGCTGTGACGCCGTCAACGTGAGGCGCTTCATGCCGTCCGGACTTCGGTTCCGTGAGTCAAAATCGCGTCCTTCACTTCCCCGTGACGCTCTGCACACACGTGTGTCCAGGGGAACAAGAAACACTAAAGGCCGGGTTCGGGACCGGGGGGTAAGATGGGGGGCGTACTCTGAGGTTAGATCAACTTTATACGAGCTTACGGGTCGATTTCGCTCGTTGATTTCTACGACTTCCACTTCTTCGACAAAGCGCGCACTTTTCTTAGGGCTCGAGCCGCTCGCTGACGTGGGTCGCAATGGCTTAGGGTTATGGTCTAAAGAAACTTCCCGCTCCTCCGGTGTATCGTAGTTGGAGGGCGCAAGAAGAAATTGTGGCTCCGAGTACCTGCATTGGACAAACCTTGGTGAGGACACCGACCTGTCTCCGGCGGCTCCCCTTATCCGTGGCGAGCCCCTTCTCTCCCCTATTGGGCCCAAGCCGTTTCTGGCGGGCACAAGCCTCGGTTGTGTAGAAAGCTGCTCCTCCGGTCTGCCTCCCTCCGACCGCAACCTCTCCGTGGATGAGGAAGACCCAACTGGGCCCGCATCCCAGAGAATGGCAGCTGGTCTGGGAGTCACATATCGTCGTTTTCCTTCTTCTTCGGCGGAATTCGCCTTGGTCATTTCCATGGAACTCTGTCGAGCCCAAACAGACAACTGTCGCTGGCGACCCGGTCCGGGTCCTCGACCCGGTCCGGCTCCCCGATCCGGTCCGGGTCCCCGATCTGGTCTGATATCCGGATCTGGTCTGGGGATGGACGACGAGTAGGACTCATTACTCGAATGTGAGTCATCAACTTTCCATTTACTGGGCGCAGCTAATTTAACAGAGTCCAACGACTGAAGAATAACCATATAGCTTCCCGATCCGGTTCACTCACCTGGATACTAACAGGGGTTCTAATTTTCACTGCGTCCCGACCGCAGCAACCCATACCAAAAAAATTATGAAGTGAGATTGACAGCATCTTTCAAACTCGCGCCGTTGTATGTCGGCGCTGCCTCTGGGTATGCGGCGCCGTACGGGTCTCCGATATAGGGAGTTGATGGATACATACTCGCTCCTTGAACCTCTAAAATATTCCATCTCTATGTGTGTGCTCGCGTGTGTGTTCGCGTGTGTGCTCGCGTGTGTGCTCGCGTGTGTGTTGATAACCCAACGGTAACCTCCTGAAGTTGGGCATGCATGGCTTACTGGACTTTTTAGGGCCTGGTAGCAAACTCTGGGAGGCTTCCCCTTCCTTTTTCTGTTTCCTCTTGTCATATGCGTCTACCATCATGAGCACTAGTTCGTGAACTAAGACGCAGGCGACAACGCCGTCATCCACCAAACCCACCACCGGGATGAAGTCAGGAATCAGATCTATTGGCGACAATAGGTACAGTATGCTAGCTGCAATGATGACCCACCGCCAAGGACTATCGCGCAATAATTGCCGGTACTTCCCGTAAATTCCAGAGGACGACGCAGCACCTCCGGGTTGCTCTGTAAAGACCCCCATCTATACCATCACTATACTCACCTCCGGTCTTTAGGTTCTTTGCAACTTGTCCCAGACGGGTTGGCATCCTTTGCAAAAAAATGACTAAACACCGACACGTGTATCACACCATACACGACCAGCCTTCCTGATCTGTTTATTGTCTGCGGAGAAGACCGAACCGCGGAGACCGAACCGCGGAGACCGGACCGAGGAGACCGGACCGAGGAGACCGGACCGCGGAGACCGAACCGGACGAACAGTGGTGACATGTACACCTACGTGGTACGCTGACATGTCTGCTTGACAACGTCTATGTTGGTGGCGACTATGTGCGTTGATTGCGTGCTTCCTACAACCCCAGATGAGTCCTACCAAAACCTCGGGAGAATAATAATTAGGAAAGAGCGGAAAAGAAGACCATAGACTTAACAAAGACCATGGACCTGACCGATTTAGGTAATGGACTTTTGCAGGCCTTCCTGGCGGCGCGAGATGACTACCAGAAGCGTGTTCGAGAGTTGGAAGTTAAACAAAAAGTGGAATTGCGGCGTCGGGAAGTACATTTTCAAGAAGCCCTGAAACGCCTGGAGGGTATCGTGAAGGCTCGAGAATTGGAAATCGAGGCCTTGAGGATAGAACTGGCTAGCCAACCGACCAGTGAATCGACCAGTCAACGGACCACCCAACTGGCCGGCCCGTCGACCACCCAACTGACCGGCCCGTCGACCACCCAACTGGCCGGCCCGTCGACCACCCAAGTGGCCGGCCCGTCGACCACCCAAGTGGCCGGCCCGTCGACCAGCCAACTTGCAGGTGACAAAGAGGCGGAGGGCCAGCGCTTAGTCCAAGCGCAGGAGGTCGACCAAAAGCAGGAGAACGGAACGCCAGGCCATGACCGGAGGCGGCAGTCCTCAGCCCGGACAGAGGTCGAAACAAGTGGCACCTGGGCCCGGATTGCCCAGATCCCGGCGCGCCGCTCTGGTTCAAGACAGTCGCGCCCGATGTAAACCGGCGCAAATATGAAACAGGTCTTGTGTTACCTGACGTAATACCACCATCTGCAAAAAGAATACCGTCCTGGCAGCGTCCATTGGGCTTCCTGGAACGTCCCCAGCGTGTGTGCAAACACTTCTTTCATTAGTGAAGTGCTTCTGAAAGTAACGTGCCTGCGAATTGTTCAGTATAGTGTCCTTACATTTCGACACTGAGTAATTTCGTCACTGACCATATGCAAGGCTGTGAGGCAGTCGATCAGTTCGGGCGGTCGTACGGTCCGCGTGTCTTGGCGAGTGCCTTCTTGAGAGGACGCCCCGTTGTTGTCTGTCTTGGTCAGCGGTGCCCTCCTGTAGATTTCTGAAGAAGAATACTTTTCGTGAGAACTCCGGGAGGACCTCCTACCGCAGTCAAATCCTGGCCGTCGCGAATCCGGCGGTCTTGATCCCCTTTCGTAGCCGTCCTTTCCGTAGCCGTCCTTTCCGTAGCTTCCCCTTTCCCGTCGGCTCACCTCCCGCCTTTCTTCATAATCCTCTTTACCCAAGTCTGCTTGTTTCCGCGAATAACCTTGATCTCCTTGCCAGCGCAACCTCTCGCCATTACCACCGCAGCTCTGGTCCTCTTCTTTCTGACCCTCTCCTCTTGAACCCCCCCCTCTTGAACCCTCCCCTCTTGAACCCTCTTCTCTTGAACCCCCCCCTCTTGTACCCTCTTCTCTTGAACCCTCTTCTCTTGAACCCTCTTCTCTTGAACCCCCTCCTCTTGAACCCTCTCCTCTCGAGCCCTCTTCTCTTGCACCTTCTTCTCTTGAACCTTCTTCTCTTGAACCTTGTTGCTGACCTTGTTCAGTCTGTGCTTTGTAATACTTGTTTTGAGCCCCATTTTCCCGGCCGTACATTGCCCCGGACGATGCCGACGATGTCGTCCACCGGTCACTGCCCAGGTCGGAGAGTTCGTCTTGGTCGAAAGGGCCTGTGTCCATTCCGGTAAACAACTCCGTCTGCGTCTCGGGGCTCGATTGATCCGTGGATCGACTGGTGCTTTTACCGGCTTCTCCCTGCGCAGTCCTCTCCTTCCCGTCTTGCCCTTGCGACTGTACTGATTGCGCCTCCATGGCCAAGTTGTATCTGTTGGCGAGTTCACGGACGTGATAGATGATGCAGTCGCCCTGCGGCCCAGCCACCTTGGTCGCGTATATATCGATAGATCCGGTCCAGCGCGGTCCTCGGGGGACGGGGCCGCAGTCCACACCGCCGGCAAGGACGACACCGTAGTGGACGCGAAGCGAGCGCGTAAGCAGCCCCAGGTCTTCCGAGACGACAGTGTAGTTTGGGTTCTGCAGGATTCGAACCAGCGACTCCGGTAACGACCAATGCCGCGACAAGTGGCCCGACTCCGAATCGTATGCGCGAACCGGGTCCACGTAATACTCTATGCCTTTGCCGCTCGATTGACTCCACCGCTGCAAACAAAGCTGACTCCAGCACTGCCGCCGGGCCGCAAACTCCAAACTGAACAAATGATTGCTCTCCATCCCCGCACCGTTCATCCCCGCACCGTTCCCAGGCTCCGACGCTGTACCAGTGCCCGCGACGGTAGCAGAGACGCCAGTCACAGAGAGGTCCTTCGCTGTGATAGTACTACCTGCCGTCCCATTGCCGGTGCCATTGACCGTGCCATCAGCGGCGTCATTGATTGTAACATTTGTCTCACCCATCTCCCTAGTGCATGTATTGTCTACACACGACGTTGATAGTCTCATGTTCTCCGCGATGGACAACTTGCGAGCCTTTGCCGTGATGAGTCGCAATACAACGCAACTGTCTGTCCTAATACTATACAGGACGAGTAAACTTATTGCAGGAACGTCCCCTGCACTTTGGTACAACCATCCGTTAAACTTGAGAGTATATTGAGCGTGTACGACGATCGGCTCTGTCCGCTTCAGCGTGCTCTCCCACCGCCGTAGCGATTGCCAGTACCCAATATCACAAGACATAAAATTCACCACCTTTCTGCAACCCCCACGCGTTCCAGCCCTTCTGTTGCTTACCCGCCCGACTCCAGGGGTGGAAAAAAGGAACAACCGTGTCACAGGTTACGATGAACAAGATTGACGAGAAGAAGACTACGAGACCATTGCTACAACTAACTGTAGTCTATTAATTAAACCACGCACTTGGCGGCTGCAGAACCTGCTACAGTCCGGCAAGCCACTCCGACTTTTTCAAGCACGCGCACCCGCGGCCAAGCAAACGTCTTGACCAACCAAGCGCATTGCTATCTTTCGCCTTAGCGTCAGCATTGCCTTGGCTGCCAGCAACATGTTTGAGCTTGGCGTGCTGCTTAAGCTGGCGTGCTGCTTAAGTTGGCGTGCTGCTTGAACTTGGCGTGCTGCTTGAACTTGACATGCTGCTTGAACTTTGACATGCTGCTTGTACTGGACATGCTGCTTGAACTGGACATGCTGCTTGAACTGGACATGCTGCTTGAACTGGACATGGTGCTTGAACTGGACATGGTGCTTGAACTGGACATGGTGCTTGAACTGGACATGCTGCTTGAACATGTGAGAGTCGCGCAAAAGCGACTAAGTCGGTCGGACGCGACTGGTGGCATGGCTAGTGTCGGGTTCGTCGAAGCTTGCTCGCAATGTGCTGCATCTAGCGAGCGTAGCTGGCGGTCCATTCCTTCGCGATGGAGTCGTGTTTCTCCCGGTCCTTAAGGTAGAGTCTTGCAATATCGGGCACAAGAGGATCATCCGGGTTAGGGTCGGTTAGTAAGGAGGAAATAGACAGCAGCACCTTGGGAATGGTCAGCGCCGGTGACCACTGGTCTTTTAAAATATCCAGACAAATTGCACCTGAAGAGTTAATGTTGCAATGATAGATTCTCGTAATGAAGGTAATCTTCGGCGGCCGGAAGGGGTAGTCCGTTGGGAAGATAATGTCCAGGAAGAACACACCTCCCTGATAAGGAGAGTCATCCGGACCCATTATCGTCGCCTGCCAGTGAAACAAGTCTTCGTTTATCGGCCCCGCACTGCAACACGCCGGTGGATCACGGTTGATGTCCATATACTCCTAAAATGCGATCATTGTAGCAAGAGCTGTATGTGCTCCACTATATGTGTGCTCCACTATATGTGTGCTCCACTGTTGGGCCCGTGTGCGCAAACGTGGGACAAGCAAATGAGTGGCTGACAGTGCCACAGTGACGATCACTACGGCGGCCTTAACAAGGGCCTTACTCTCATGATGCGCTTCGCAGCCATGGCGCTGTTTTTTCGAAAGACGAAATTAGGATTATTCTGGCTGTAAAAGACAAGTCGTGGGGCGGGCTGTGAGGTGGACTGTTTTTAATCAAACGGAGACAAAAGGGGTGAGGGCTTAAAAAGCGTTCCAAGGTTCAAGTGTCGGGTCAAGATATCGGGCTAACGTATCGGACTCCCATAATGGTCGGTAGGTGGGAGTAGAATATTGGGAAGCAGGCAGTTCGGGAAGCAGGTAGTTCGGGAAGCAGGTAGTTCGGGGGAGGTTGTAAATTTTGTATGCAGGCGTTGTCGTCTGCGGCTTCTCCAGAGTCTTTGAAGCGGGTGATTCGTAGTGGTCAGCAGGAGTTACAGACGTTGATAGAACACATAATCAGTTTGCAAGCGGAGTTGGAGGAGCGTGCTGTGGATCGGTCGCGATTGATTATATTAGAAGGTCAATTGGTGGAGATTGAGAAGTTGCACCGGTTAACTTTGGAGTCTATTGGAATGGCGGAGCAAGGATTGTTGGGTGGTGGTGTAGCGACGGCGACTAGGTTGACGGAGGTGTCGAGGACTCTGGAGCACAGGTATATAAAGCAGCGCGGCTTGTTACAGGAGCAACTTAAGAAAAAGCAAAAAGCTCAGGTCTTCTCCGGTGGTCCAATCGACCTACGACCGGGCGACGCAGAACTGCTCAATGAGTCGATGGTACTGGATCTCAGTCTACAACAAATTGATGAAACCGTTTCCACCGCCCGCTCAACCATCGGCAACCTCCGAAACCAAGGTCGTATCCTTAGTCGTGTACGCAAAGGAACCGCTCGTGCTATCGCTTCATCCATGACCGCGTCCTACGTTGTCGACCGGATACGACGACTGGAATCTAAACAAAGGTTCGTCCTCCTATCGGTGTTCAGCTGTCTTGTATTCTTGACCCTTTTTTATTTATACCGCTTTAAATTGTAAATATCAAACCACCACATGGACGTTAAATCGATGGATCAAGACTACGACGTAACCACCCGTGTTATGACACATACCTGTGTTATGGGACACACCCATGTTCTGGGACACACCCATGTTATGGCACACACCCGTGTTATGGCACACACCCGTGTTACGGCACACGCCCATGTTATGACCCGTGTAGGTCGTGGTCTGTGGTACTGGCTTTCAAGAATGTATTTTGTCTGGTTTGCTTTCGGTAAATGGTTCGAAGGTGCTGCATGTTGATCGAAACAACTATTATGGAGGTGAAAGTGCAAGTTTGAATTTATCGAATCTGTTTAAAAAGTTTGAAGGAAACTCGTCTATTAGTAGCGTGGATGCTGGTAGTGGCGATAAGTTGTGCGATGGTGGTGATAAGTTGTGCGACCGGAATAACGAGACTGCTCCGGTTAGTTGGGGTAGCAATCGAGATTGGAATGTGGATTTGATCCCTAAGTTTATTATGGCTGATGGTAAGTTGGTTAAAATCTTGATCAAGACCCGGGTGAAGGATTACCTTGAATTTCAAGTTATTGATGGTTGTTATGTGTATCAGCATCAGAAGGGTGGGTGGTTATCGAGCGAGAAGTTTATTCACAAGGTACCGGCGACGGAGTCGGAGGCATTTGGTAGTGCGTTGATACCGATGGCGGAGAAATTACGAGGTAAACAGTTTTTTTCGTTCATCTCAACCTGGAATAAGGATGATGAGAAGTCGTGGCAGGGACTACACCCGACCAAGTGCACGATGAGCGACGTTTACAAGCATTTCGGTGTTTCTGAGACGACCAAGGAATTTGTGGGGCATTCTATTGCGTTGCATACCTCAGACGATTATTTATTGAAGCCAATGCAGGATACTATGAGTAAGATTAAGCTGTACCTGTCATCCCTCTTCCGGTACGGCTATTCTCCGTTTATCTATCCCATGTATGGGCTCGGCACTCTTCCCGAAGGTTTCAGTAGACTTTCGGCGGTGTATGGAGGCATATACATGCTTAATACGGAACTTGAGAAAATTCTTCTAGGGCCAGAAGGACAAGTCATTGGTGCTATCCTTAGTCTCAATCAGCATCAAGAGAGTACCAGTCAGGGTGGTAACGCCAGTCAGGGTGGTAACGTCAAACAAGGTGAGCGATTTATGGTTAAGTGTAAGAAGATCATATGCGACCCAAGTTATTGTCTTGCTATCAGGCCGGAGAATGTTATCGTAATTGACAACGACCACACCAATATCACACTAGAAGAAATCGATAAAATGACCCCTAGCCCTATTGCCAATAAGTTCGCTATGAACATAAGGAATAAAGTTGTTTGCAAGGATAAGATCATCAGGGTTATTAACATACTTAATCAACCAATACCTAATACAAACAACAAGAAATCCTGTCAAATTATTTTGCCACAAAAACAGCTTCTACGAGGAACTGATATATATATCGCTATGATATCTGCCACACACGGGATCTGCAAGCAAGGCAAGTATATTGCTCTAGTTAGCGCAAATATTGAGACTAACAATCCAACGAAAGAACTGGAACCCGCTTTCAAGATCTTGGGATCTATCGAAAAACAATTTACCAACATCAGTAACCGCTATGTTGCCACCGATGATGGCTCCAACGACCATATCTATGTTACTGACAGCTATGACGCAACTAGCCACTTTGAAACCGCTACCGAAAATGTCCTTAAAATGTAAACACATACACATATGCGCATACACATATGCGCATACACATATACGCATACACTATCCGTATATACTATCGGTATACACTATCCGCATAATCCATCCATGCACACACGTGTGCATTGTTGTAGTTGGAAAAATATGATGGGAGAAGAGCTTGATCTCACTATCGTGCCTTCGGAACAGCAGGAGGATTAAACATACATGATCACGCTTCCTCTTACATGATCACGCTTCCTCTTACATGATCACGCTTCCTCTTACAACCGGGTACTCTCACCACCGGGTGCTGAATACGGACAGAGTTTATTCGCGATGGGGCGGGGGTGAGACTAACAACTGAGCGCGGTACGAGTAGATCGCTGCATATAAAAATGAAAACTAGCAATGGTCTGTCCGTCGTCAAGAGCACGTGTTCCAGAGCACCACCTAAATATTCTGAGATTCTGCTGGAGCTCAACATTCATAGGAGTTCATCATTCATGAGAGCTCATCATTCATAAGAGCCCAGTATCACCTGCAAGAGCTAGTTTGATTGGGACAACTAGTCAGTGTTAGTAGGGGGTTGGTTCGTTTGAACCGACAGCACAATTTGGCTTATCCACCGCCCTATTTGCGGGTCCTCTTCTATTTGACTTGACAGAGAGTCGTTACTAAAATCATTAGGTTTGGTTTGCAGGGAGAGAAGGGGTGGAGGAGGGGTGGAGGAGGGGGAGAGGTCGTACTTGAAAGCTTCCGGCAGGCAGTGTTTGAAAGCCTCTCTTGCCTTTCGGTTGTCGCAAAGGCGGAGGTAGCACTTGACGATGTGTTTGAGAAGCCTAGGGGTTGGCGGTACTCTTTCGTTGGTAGCAGTGCCTGCGGAGGTGCCGTTGACCATGGAAGATAGTATACTGGATACGGCGTAGAAGCGCTCGGCGGTAGCGCAGAGGTACAGGAGTCCTTCTTCTTGTCCGAGTACCTTTTGAACGACGAAGGTTGCTACAGTTTGGGGTAGTTCATTTCCGTTGTCCATGATACGGAGACAGAGCGGGACTACCTCAGACTGGAGCAGGAAGCGTAGGACCTCAGGGTCGTCGCCTTTGACCAAGGCGCCAATGACACCAAGTGCTGTCAGACGTAGGAATTCAAGCGCTTTCGAGTTCGACGAACAATTCAGGAACGGGTAAAGATAGAGTGGGATATGTGCCTTCAGACAATACCGCTTCGTCTCCGGATGGCATGCAACACATTGCAACAGAGCCAAGCAGTTGCACACTCGTTGACTTTGCGCCGCCGTCAATGTAGACGGATTCATCAATGGATATACCGCTATTATCTCCTGTAGAAATGCCGCCATTGTACCAAACGAAAACCATAGATAACGTGCCATCTGAGGAAACGTCTCGCGCCGCTTGCTCAATTCATGCAACGCCGCATCCCGCTTATTCACATCCGCTATATCGCGAATCAACTCACAGACACGAACCTCTTCTTCATCCATGATACTTTATAGAAAAATACCTATCGCCCCCGCAACCACCCCCGCAACACAACCACGCTACACAACCACGCTACACAACTAACTTGCCCATAAGCCAACTCCACAATCAAGTCAGACCAGCCACAATCAAGTCAGACCAGCCACAATCAAGTCGGACAATCAAGTCGGACCAGCCAACAAGCACCAACAATAAATGTTTTATTCGGGGCCAACTAACGCAGGGCAGCGGCGTCGTACGTCTTGCGCAAAAGGCCTCGACGACCCAAGTGCTTCAAAGCACACAGATACAACGGCGTCATGGCCAGCTTACGGATTTCATTATCGTATACCCAGTCCTAGAACAGTGTAGTCGCCGTGTGTGTGCTCTCACTTGATGTCGTTCATTGATTTTGTTTACTGCGTGCTTTACGCTGTTGATTTGGTTCAGTGTTGATTGAATTTGTTCCGGGACCGGCGGTTGCGCGGCCAGGGCTTGTTGAAGGTGCTGGCGAAGCGTGCCGAGTTGTTCTTCCAGGGCAATCTTTTTGTTAGGCGTGACGGCTATTAAGTTGAATTTTATCTCACTGCCGCTTTGATTCAATGCCCCTATGATCTCGTGGATTTTCTTGATTGCTGGACGGAGCCAGGCAGTCATCTGTCCACCATCAGGGTCTTTGGTAGCCTTGGTCGAATCACCGTCAGCGGTCGCCCAGCGACCAAGATTCAGGGGCTGTTGCCGAAGACCGTCGAGGAGCCAGGTGGTTTGTGACTGTCGATGAGGTACTAGGGCCACAAAGTGGAAGGGGTCTCCTTTAGGGTCTTCACCTTTTGTGTCTTCTTGAATAAGGTGGCTCTTTTGGCCGAATACATTGTGGGCTGCTCGGATACCGTCGTGATTAGCAAGGGCTATTCCTCGACTCTCAGGGTCCAGTCCCTCACAGAAGCCTCGGTACGAGGTAAGAGTCTCTCCTATGTCAATAACACGGTCCAAATTAAGAACGACTGAAAGCACAGCCAGAGTCGCACAACAATTCTCAATCATCTGATGGCAAAAGAACAAACTACTAGGAGGCGCTTCAACCATGGCCACAGAACCTGCCTCATCTTGGTATAGTTCTCGGTCATACTTATACAGGAATATCAGCCCATAACATTCTTCCCCTTTCAACGACTCCTCATCCAACGACCAAAGCTCTTGGAAGTCCACGCTAAAACATCCTAAAGTGGTTACAACATCCCAAAATACTCCGGGGTCACTTTCTATCAAACACCAAGACATGAATGGAATTTACACCCCCTTTTTACCTCCACCCCACCCCACTCACATCACCCCACTCACCTCCACCCCACCTCCACCCCACTCACCTCAAACTCACCCCACTCACCTCAAACTCACCCCACTCACCTCAAACTCACCTCAAACTCACCCCCTACTACAAAGTCTGTACCAACAAATGCCCATTGTTTAATTCCGGTGTCTATTTGTGAACGACCTCTTCTGATTGAGGTTGAATTAATTCATTCGAATTTTTTCTTTACCGGACACATGGACCCCAACGGGATTGCAACTCAGTTTCTCAACGCCTATTATAAGACGTTTTCGGAGAACCGTGGCATGCTCCAGAGCTACTACGGCGCCGATTCTAAGCTGAGTTGGGAAAATGCAGAGTTTACTGGCGCAGCAGAAATTTCTCAGAAGCTTACCAGCATCAATGCGCAAAAAATCGAGTACCTCCATGTTGAGCACGTAGTGCAGGTGCTACCTGGCGACCTACTACTCCTACTTGTCAACGGTAAGACACCACGGACACGGAGCACACACGCGGCACACACTTGAGCCGCGAACAAAACTGTCACATACTTGAGTGTAAGCGGCTCTCATTGCAGGTCATATGTCAATTGATGGTGCCCCCGCCCTAGGGTTCTCTCAAATCTTCGTATTACAAAGAACACCTGCTGGTTCCTGGTTCATCCGGAATGAGATATTCAAGTTCCAGTTTGCTTCCAAGTAAAGAAATGGTAACGTCGAATAAAGAATGTTTTACAGAAACCAACCTTATATAGATGCACCTGTATGGGTGCAGTACATCCATGTGTAGGCGTACATCCCTGTGTAGGCGTACATCCCTGTGTAGGCGTACATCCCTGTGTAGGCGTACATCCCTGTGTAGGCGTACACCCGACCCGCTTTTCATTCCCCTCAACCCCACGGTTTTATTTGTGCTTTGGCCGTACTGAATGCAGGAGAGAAATTCATTCTTTTATTCATTCTTTTGGCGGATACTTCGGTCAGATTCTGTTTGTGAGCTTGGCCGGCCATATGTATGGCCACGGTAGAGTCACACTCTTGGAGGTGTAAGTGCCACCTGTATGAATAGCTTGCTTCTCGAAGAAGCTATTTCAAATCGTCGTCGCTAGGCCAGCAATTTACTTCAACGGTCTCTGCGTCAAAGCCTGGTCTATCCAGCAGGGTATAATGCCTTATTAATTTTTCCAAAGTGGTTCGGAAGCCCATGACTGTGCCCCATTGAATGGTGTTACCCGACGGAGTGACGGCCGACGCTTCCACACTTGCCTCACTGCAAGGGACATTGAGTGGTGTAGGCCCCGAGAGCACCCACTTAGTGTCTCCTCGCGCCTGGTCCGGCTCTCGTCGGTGCATGCGAGCTTGACGACCTAATTCGTGCAGCATCTCTTCGCTAGCTCCATCCACGTCAATGCCAGCCCATCTTCCTGCTGTAGTCCCGAGGCGAATCATCTCCAAACGCTCCCCTTCCTGTAAACTATGACATTGATATGAGCATTGAGTAGGCTTCAGGTAGTGGACGATAGCCTCCCAGACAGTGGGAAAATCGAACTCAAAGGGGGAGGCAAAGTAATGGCCTACTAGATCCTCATCGCCTCCAACGCTAGCACAAAGTATCCTGCCATCGGTCTTGCTACAGCTGGACCAGTCAAGCTCCTTCCAGGCATCCATCGTAACGTTCCTCATTGTGCTTCTGCGGTATGTATTGCTGCAAAACTCCAACGGCATCCTCCAACGTGTGGCCAACCTATGCTCCGAAATTAGCGTGGTGAGATCTCCAACGTGGGGATCAGGGCGCGGCACAGGGTCGGACTTGCACCTCATGAGCCAGGAGGTAGTAAAATCGGTAGAGGAGGTAGTAAGAGCGGAAGACATGGACGAGGCGGACGGAAACGGAAGGGGCCCAGTCTTCGAAGTAATAGATTAAACTGGAAGCAATCCACAGCCCACAACAGCCCCGACGCCCGCAAGAATCCACGGCCTTTGCCTAAGATACGCGACGGGCTCCCTGCGCCGGGCGTCGACGTCTTGACCATCTTTCGAGGGCCTCACATCCTCGATATCACCATTCGGAGATTCTTTCCTCCGTCGGCGTCGTCTGAGGACGTGAAACTATCGTTTGACTCATCCTTCGGAAACCTCACATCCTCGACGATCACCATCCGGAACTTCTCTGCTTCATACTCGTCCCCAGAGTCGGTCGCCGACGACACTTCGACAAGTCCGACTACGGTTTCGGACGCTCTGTCGTCGATGGGTGGACCCAAGACTACAGCCAACACCGAGCTTCCCTTGACGCCAAACTGGGTTGACCGTCCACTTCTCATCACCCAAAAAATCAAAGCAAACCAACTGTCATTGACTGGCTGTTGTCTTAAACGGAAGAGGCTTAAAGGGACTCAATGTTCCAAACATTGGGAAGATCAAGGCAATTCTGAGAGTCTTAATAAGCCTCATATTCTTGGAGTAAAAACCCTTCCGCTGAAAAAAACCTTTTCTGTGGCGAGTCATATCATAACTCCATGACAAGTGGCATTGCACGTTTTGGTATAGATATCTTTGATTCGAGGGTCTGTAGCATTGCCGTTAGCCTCGGGGATAGATAGCATCCCAAACACATCTTGCATCCGTGCGTTAAAGCCCCACAGTTCAACATCTTGCTGGTCTCTTGTCTTCTTGAGCATGGTCCGGCATTTGACGTGTGCAACATGACAAAGGCAGTTACCTACATTGCATGGCTCTCGATAGATATATAGTGGACTTCGGGTGCTATCATAGATCTCCTCACAGGTTGATGAACAGCCTGGCTCGGCAGAGTAGTATTTCGGCAGCCAATCTGCGAAACTCAGTGCCGAATCCGCCCACATATTCTTACGATCCCTCCCTAGATTGTCTTTGGCTTTTCGCCACAGTTGGCCCGCCACTGCTTTCTTCTCATAGCATAGTACTACGCAATCATCAAAGTTGTCTGCGTAACGTTTAACCGCATCCTGCACTGCGAATATATCCATCCACACCGGACCAAAACGATGACAAGAGACAGGCTGATAGTCGGGGCAGGTACCAAAAAACCTCCTCATCGAGCTGCACTCAAGTGAGCCCTTTTTACACATCATTACTCCGCTTCCCCCCTTGCATGGGTATCGGCCAATTTCTTCCACTTTGCTCCAGCCGCCTCTACCATAGTTCTTACACGTTGCCAGAGGCAGCTGAAGCGTACTCAACTCGCGTCTGCTCAACCTCAATTTCAGAGGACTACCATCACCTGCAGGCTCCGTCTCAAGGAAACGTACGCTGGCGGGCACGGCAACATCCGGGTTCGCCTTACGGCATTTGTAGTTACAACCCATTACCTGATAGAGGTCTTTCTTCTTGCTGAAGGGAGACAATTTTTCAAACAGAAACCACGGGTCCTCGTTATAAGCAACTAGCTCAATTTTGTTCTCCTCCTGCTCAGCCTTAGTTCGAACTTGACATGTGACCTGTGAAAAGCTGCAGGAACATTTCCTATCCTCAACACAATCGACACACGATCCCGAGCATTTTGCTTCCACAGGATAGCGCGGGCGCATCATCGCTTCGAAGTCATTCAGGTCGGGAACTGAGCGTTTTTTCGATACAGCTGAGAAACCCCGACCAGGATAGGGTGGAATCGACAATAAACTTTTTTGGGTCACCTCCCACAAATTGCGTAACGCCTCCTCTTCACCATCACATCGAACAACGCATTCTCTGCCGTCTTGTAGATAATGTCCAATCGCCTCCTTTACCGCAAAGGCTTCATACGTCCACGGACCGCCAAAATGATAACACGTTCCTACGGAGTTGTTCTGATGCGTTGCACATAGCAACTGCCCATTGCCACCACCACATGGATATCGCCCTCCATCTGCGTCCATAACGGGCCAACTGCCGATTGTATACGCCGACGAGTTGAATAGCTCCTGACATTTTGACTCCAGCATCTGGAGCTCGTTCAACATGGACTGAGTCATCGTGGTCTTGAAACGACTCGGATATGCTGCGGGGGCCGTGTCAGTCTGTGAGTTACGGGCAATAAGCCAACTGAGTATGGCTGCCCCACTAATTACAGCAACTCCAGAAATTGCAGAAGCAATCAGGCAACATCCACTCGGGGTGTAGCGGGTCGGCCCACAGCACAGGCCTCGCTCGACATCGGCAACTTCCGCCAGCAGCGGCAGCCACTCTTCCGGTACACTACTGCGGGCGTCCGTCGCCTCCACACGTGTCAAAGGTCTGCAGTCTATGACCTTCAGCGAGTCTGTATCCTCCAATACCTCGTTATCGGTCCTCAAACGACGCATAGACGGATCCGATGGGTCCAAATCGTCATATGACTCATCGCCGTAGTCATCTACCTTCCTCGGCACCTTACCAGACCTCGGCGCCTTACCAGACCTCGGCACCTTACCAGATCTCGACGCCTTACCAGATCTTGACCGAACAACGCTTTCGCTGCAAATTAGATCGGATGCGTGGTGGAACCGACCCTGTGGGTCTAAGTTATCTAGATGCCTCTTGATGTCCTGCATGGCCAGGATTTCACCCAAAGTATCATGTTTCTGACGACTTGGTTTATACATGAAAATTCTGGAACACAACTCCAGCCAGCAGAAGTTACTACCTTCATTTAAAGCCGCTACTTCCTCTGTGGGAGCGTCACTCTTCTTGGCAACTTCAGTCAACTTCTTCATGGCTTCCTTTGGCACCACCGCCAGGAATTGAACCCTAGCCTTTCCGGTTCGGTCACCTAGTGTCAACAATCTAACATCACAGCCGTCAATAGGTGGACGCATCCCATTGGGATCCATCAGCGACGCCAGCAGTCCCAGCCGCTCTCCGCTGCTTGACTCGTCGCAGCATACCGTCTTCATTTCTCGTAGCTTTTTTTGATCCAAATTTTTTCAACGTGCTAGACCGAACCACGAAGCGCCGAACCACAACGCGCTTTCTTACGTCTTGTTCATCTTGCCTGTGGTCTCACTGCCACCCATTGAGCGTCATGCCAAACGGAATGACGTGGTTGTTACGTCTACATAGACGCAGCTGTTACATCTCCAAAGGGAGCCGGGTTTTAGATTTATCTGGAAGACCGAGGAGTCTGAACTGTTGGTGTGTGTAACGAGTGTGAGTTGTCAATAGGGCATGATGTCGTCATCGGCTGGAACCGGTTCAGCCGGTGGCGTATTCGTGATCTGCTAGTGGCACGGAACGCACGCTAGAGACGACACCTCTGATCGAAAAATCCTTTCGTCGTGCCGTTATCAAATGACCTGTGCCAAGTCGTCGCGTGACTTCGAGGACATGTTCGTCGGCATTCCCTTGGTCGGTGGTGCGGCAACGAGTCAATTCGCACTTCCTTGTGGTATCGGTGCGTGTGCGAGGACACAATGTAGCTCTTTTTTTGCGCGGCTGGAGCCTTCCACCACTCAGCTCCAGACCGACAGTCGCTGGTTGACCTATCCAGCCTTCCAGTCGGTATTCCCTTCATCAGCAACTACCCGATGACACAATGACTTTGACTTATGACTTTGACTAATATTGATGATATATATGCCGTGGGGAGCACACATCCATTGTTATTGAAAGAAATCGCCGACGATTACTCTTACCGCTTGGGCCAGTGTTATTTGAAGCGCTCTCCCACCTGTGTGCTGAAGCGCTCTCCCACCTGTGTGCGTTCTTTGTTTCTGTTCACACCTGATGTCCCTCTGGGTGTGTTCGAGCAAAAATCACTCATGTCTAAGTCCACATCAAAATCCGAAGCACGGTTAACAAGAGGCTTGAGTTAAGTGCCTCTTTGTAATCATGTATGCGCCTTGCTCTTCATTGGTGCTGGAGTAGCTGTCGGTTCTTGGCACCCCGGAGTTTCCACCGGCTACTGATGGTTTCGCTTGGAAGGTTTTGCTTGTTTAACTCGCCTCAACTTCATCGGATTACCACCATCTACAGGCTTTAGGAAGTGCACGTCCACGCCTGAGGCACCGTACAGGCTACTCTCCTTGCCATACGGAGACAAGTGTTCAAACGCTGGGTCCTCTTTATAATCGATTAACTCAGCGTTGTGCTCCAGCTGCCTCAGCCTTGGTTCGGACGCAAAGACATTCCTAGTGCCGATGTCCACCACAGCCACTGCCGCGGATGGATATGGTCCTGCATCTGCGTCCATAACGAGCCTTTCGTATACGTCGATGAGTTAAACAGCTTTTGGCATTTGGACTCCAGGATTTGGAGCCATGCAATGAGTTAAATAACTAAGGTCTGAAGCCCGTTCCGATTCATCGTGGTGTTGAACCGACTCGGAAATATTGTGGTAGTCACGTTGGCCCAAACCATAAAGCGATACAGGGTCGCGTGTGAGAGATGGGTGGCCCCTTGAACGGCAAGGCAGCTGTGAATGGTTTCGTGAGGGGTTGTTCGAAGTGCCGGCTGGCAGACGAGATACCGCACTGTGGTGAGTGTTGAACGCGTTTCCTTATCGCAGACGCGTTTCGTGTCTTATCTGCTGTCTCGCTGCCACAGAGCTCCTTGCGTCATGCCGAACGGAGCCAGTATCGGTGCCGAACGGAGCCAGTATCGGTGCCGAACGGAGCCAGTATCGGTGCCGAACGGAGCCAGTGTCGGTGCTAGTGGTCTTTTAGTGCCCCGGGTGCTTGCTGCCCGAGCACCCTCCCTGGTTCTAAAAAAGTGTCTGACCCAACACAGTCGAGGGACCTCCATGGTGGTGACTACATAACTCCATAGCAATCGCTGCGACAGCTCTTGGTGTGGATGTCGTTGGTCTGAGGATGTTCGGATTTGGCGTTCGCGTCAGCGAGAGATAACATTTTAAGCACATCCTGCGTCCGTGCGTTAAATCCCCACGACTCCACCTGTTGGTGATGCTTCGACTTGCTCAACACGATCTGACATTTGACATGTGCAACACGACAAAGGCAGTCTGGTATATTGCTGCACGAATGTCGGTACAATAACGTAGGAATTACCGCAGGTCCGTTGTGTTGGAAACCGCAGCTTGATGAACAGCTTGGGTCGGCGAAATAGTGCTCCCGCAACCAATCTTCGAAACCCACTCTTAAATTTGCCGGCGGCCGTTCATACTGAGGATCCGTCCGTAAACCGTCCTTGGCTTCCTCCCACAAGTCATTTGCCATTGTTCTTGTGCCATCGCACCTTACGACACAATCGTCAAATTTGTCTGCGTGACGTTTAACCGCATCCTGCACCGCGAAGACGTCCATCCACACCGGACCAAAACGATGACATGAGACAGGCTGAAGTTTGTTGCAGCCGCCAAAGATCTTCTTCCCAAGGTGGCACCTAAGTGAGCCCTTTTTACACATCATTACTCCACTTCCCCCCCAACATGGATATCGGCCAATCTCTTCCAATGGGTGCCAGTCGTCTGTATCATAGCCCTCGCACTGTGCCAGAGGGAGCTGAAGTCTGCTCAACTCACGTCTGCTCAACCTCAATTTCAGCGGACTACCATCACCTGCCGGCTCCGTCTCCAGGAAACGTACGTTGGCGGGCACGGCAACATCCGGGCTCCCCTTACGGCATTCGTAGTCACAACCCACTACCTGATAGACGTCTTTCTTCTTGCTGAAGGGAGACAACTTTCCAAACAGGAACCTCGGGTCCTCATTATAAGCAACTAGCTCAATGTTGTTCTCCTCCTGCTCACCCTTCGTTCGGACTTGACACTTGACTCGCGCAAAGTTACAGGAACACTTCCTGGTGCCAGTATCCTCAACACAATCGACACACGATCCGGAGCAGTTTTCTTCCACAGGATAACGCGGGCGCATCATCGCTTCGAAGTCATTCAGGTTGGGAACTGACACTCTCTTCGTGAATTTTAGGAACCCCCGACCAGGATAGGGTGGAATCGACAATAGATTTCGTCGGGTCTCCTCCCACAAATTGCGGAGCGCCTCCTCTTCACCAGCACATCGCACAACACAACCTTTGCTGTCCTGTAGATAATGTCCAATCGCCTCCTTTACTGCAAACGCTTCATACGTCCACGGACCGCCAAAATGATGACACGTCCCTACGGAGTTGCTCTGATGCGCTGCACATAGCAACTGCCCACTGCCGCCACCACACGGATATGGCCCTGCATCTGCGTCCAGAACGTGAGAACTGCCGCTCATATACTCCGGTGAGTAGAACAGCTCCTGGCATTT